TGAACTGGAGGAAGTCCCATCTGGTTCCCTCTCAGGTTCGGACTTGGCTGGGTCTCGTTTGGGACTCTCGAACCGCCTCCTTGTCTCTCCCTCCGGAGTCTCTCCTGCGGCTGCGGTCCCGCCTTCGGCTGTTTCTGGAGGGCCCTCGGGTCACCCGGCGGTTGCTCGAGGGGCTGTGCGGGAGCCTGAACTTCGCGATGGTGGTCTACCCGCCGGGTCGGGTTTGGCTTCGACGGCTGTTCTGGTTCCTTCGGGGTTCCCCCTTCCGCCTCTCTCGCGATCGCAGAGTTCGACCCCCGGGGGCCTTGCGTCGGTTGCTGCATCACCGGCTTCCTCTTCAGGTTTTTCAGGGTTCAGTGCCTTGGCGCCTACCCGAGCCCTCGCTCGATGTGTACACGGATGCGTCGTCTCTCGGCTGGGGTTTTGTGACCAGTGCTCACCAGGCCGGCCAGGGGCGTTGGGATCCGTCCTTCCGTCGAGCTCACAGCACAGTGCGGGAGTTCGCGGCAGTGTGGTTTGCTCTGGGGAGGATTCGGGTGGCCCGCGGATCGACGATTCGGCTCCATTCGGACTGCTCTCCGGTGGTTCATTGCCTGAACCGCGGGGGTTCGATGCGGTCCTTGTCTCTTTGGGGTTGGTCGCTTCGGGTGACTCGTCTGCTGAGTTCTCGGGTTTGGCTCTCCTGGCGGTTCACGTACGGGGCGTGTCCAACATCTTGGCCGACGCCCTGTCTCGCTTCGTTCCCCTCTCCACGGAGTGGACGGTCGACGACGAGTCCTTCCGTTGGCTTTGCCAGACGTTCGGGCGCCCCGAAGTGGACCTCTTCGCGTCGGCGTGGTCGCGGCGTCTTCCCGTTTATGCGGCGCCCTTCCCCGATCGCGAGGCCGTCGGGGTCGATGCCTTTCGGCTAGACTGGTCGAGGTGGGGGTTCCTGTACCTCTTTCCCCCAGTTCGGCTGTTGCTCCAGGTCCTGACTCGCTTAGAGACTTATCAGGGGAGAGTTGTCCTTCTGGCCCTTTGGTGGCCGGCTCAGCCTTGGTTTCAGGCGCTGGTTGCTCGGTGTCCGAACCCGAGGGTTTTCCTGCGGCTCCGCCTCTTTCTGCAGATCAGGCCGGTACGTCACGTGGCTGGTTCGATCTTCTCCTCGAGTCTTCGCGTATGGTTTTTTTGACTCGAGTCTATCATCATCTCTATGGTGATCAGGTGGCCTCCTTGTTGGTGTCCCACCTGAGGGTTTCTTCTCGGTGGCAGTATGAAGTTTCCTGGCGGTCCTTCCGTTTCTTTTTGCGTCTTCGTCGTGTTAGCTCCTTGTCTGTTCGGGTGGTCTTGTCCTTCCTCTCGTGGTTGTTTCAGGACCGTCATCTTATGCCTAACACTGTCGCTTCGTATCGTGCGGCGCTGGCGGAGCCGCTTCAGCTTGCTTTCGGTATCGATGTTACGTCTGCGCCGTTTCGCAAGCTGTCTCGTGCATTGTTTCACCTCCGGCCTGCTCATGCGTCGCCTGAGCCGTCCTGGTCTTTGGACAGAGTGCTCGCTTTCCTTTCATCTCCTCGTTTCGTTGTGGCCCCTTCGGTCCAGGATTATTTTTCCAAGGCACTTTTCTTGTTGGCTTTGGCCTCTGGGGGTCGGGTAGGGGAGCTTCATGCTCTCCTCCGGCGCAGGGGTTTCTGCTCTTTTGGTCGTGGTGATTGTTTTGTTCGTTTGCAGCCGTCTCCTTTTCTGGCGAAGAATGAGACTGCTGCGTTCCGGAGGGGTCCATGGGTGGTTGATGCTTGGTTGGTCAGGCCGGGGGTGTCCGGTTTTGTGTCCGGTTGCGGCGCTTCGCCGTTATTTGCGCGCCACAGCTTCTGTGTCCGGGGACGCGCTGTGGGTTGATCCGGTTTCCCTTCTTCCCTGTTTGCGGGTTCGGGTCTCTCAGGTCGTCCGCAGGGTTAATAGGTCCAGCCAGCCTGCGGTCTATCCCCGTGCCCATGACGTTCGTAAGTTCGCGGCTCTTGCTGCCGTCTTTGGGAATATGTCTTGGTCTGATATTCAGGCGCGGGGATTTTGGCGGTCGAACAGGGTCCTGGCTGCTCGTTACCTTGTGAATGTCCCTGGGCCTCGTCGGGCCTGTGTTGCTTTGGGTCGACGGTTGTGGCCAGTTGTCTCGGCTTCGAGTTGAGGAGTGAGTGACGACCGCCTCCCGGGTAAGTCCCTCTTTTTCTGTCTGTGGGTAGTTAGCTCCGGGGAGCCGACGGGGCTCCCCCCAGAAAACCAGCGTTGAATGTAATGAAACGCCATTTTCTGGGTGAGTCCCGGAGGCTCCCCGGCATCCCTCCCTCCCTCCTGTCGGCGGTTTTTCGCGTTTTTGACATCCAGCCTCAAGAACTGAGGTGTGCGTAGCATGCGCGGGGGGTTTGGGGCTCCCCCTTCCCCCTCCCGGGGAGGGGGGAGCTGCGCAGACAGCGGCGCGGCGGTGTGTGACGTCACACTAGTTTGCTTGTTTTCGGTTGGGGAGTTCTATCCACTAGTTCGGTTTTTGGTAGCAATTTTAACCAGAATAGGGGTTTGTTTTGGAGCGCTTACCTTTCTGGGTGCCTGTTCCGGTCGATGGCAGACATAGAATGCTTCCAACTACACGGGGGGCTTCTATAGGCCATTGCTCCCCTTGCCTCTCTGAGGGGGCCCGGTTCTGGCCGTGGTCCCCGGTAGGCCTAAGAACTCCATACACATGACAGATGCCAAAGTCTGACATTAGCATATCAGCCTGGGATAGCTCCGGGGAGCCTCCGGGACTCACTCAGAAAATGGCGTTTCATTACATTCAACGCTGGTTTTTTAGTATTGTTTTTGAATGATGCAAAAGTTGGACAGCTTTTCAATTCAATAGGGAGTTTTTCAATTCAATTTGCATCATTTCATAGACTGGGTCCCGTTATTTGCATAGAGTGTTTACACAAATTAAGTTTGACTCTGGGGATATCAAAGAGATATTTATTTCTGGTGTGGTGATAATGCGTCCTATTACATCTGTCCAGGGAGAGTTTCAGAGCAGGATTTGCATTTAAGAACAGAGTTTTGTAAATGTAGTTGATACAAGAGAATTTGTGGAGTGAGATTATGTTTAGCATGTTTAGGGAGTTAAACAAGGGGGCTGAGTGTTGTTTGAAAGCAGAATTTGTTATTATTCTGATAGCAGATTTTTGCTGGGTAATGATGGACTTGAGGTGGTTTGCAGTGGTTGAACCCCATGCACAGATACCATAATTAAGATAGGGATGGATTAGTGCATAATATAGAGAGATGAGAGCAGAGTTAACATCCATCCATCCAGCCCCCCTCCACCTTCCTCTTGACCACACTATCTTTAGCAAGCAGCTTCTTTGGCAACATTGTGGGTTACAAATTGTAGTCACAAAACCTCAAAAAAACACAGAAAAGCACAAATAAATGCAGAGGGATGCTTATCCTGTGCAATAAAACAACAACACTGTCATCGGAGGCGTCCAAGAATTTGCCTGAACCAGTGTGAACGTTAGGAAGTACCACATGATTTTCTCGTTAACCGAGTGGAAGCACATCAATCGAGACAAATTTTCTGCAAGTGGCTCGCTCATTACCTGAAATGCTCGTAGATGGGGCTGCTTGTCACCCTAGGTTCCTCTGTACTGTATATATATAAATATAAATATAAATATATATATATATATATATACAGTATATATATATATATATATATATATATATATATATATATATATATATATATATATATATATATATATATATATATATTTATATATACACAGTGGTACCTCGGAATGCGAGTGTCCCTGTATGCGAGTTTTTCGGAAGATGAGCAGGATTTACTCCAAAAATATGTCTCGGAAGGCGAGGGTTACCTCGGGACGCGAGTTTGTTGATACGTATACAGGCCGACTGGCGCGTGGTGGCATGGCGATCGCGCCTCAGTTTACCAGTGTCTCGTGTCCAGTGACTATCCCACCTGAATTCTTCTCAAGGATTTACAGTTTTTTATCGGTTTTTTGGCCATTTGAGCAGAAAAGTTGTCATTATATATCTTGCCATGGGTCTCAAGAAAGCCATTGGTAATGTTCAACCTAAGAAAATAGCTGTGAGTAGAGGCAGTAGAGGATGTCCCTTCTTGATTAAGAAAATGTGTGAAGTATGGGAAGAACTGCAAAGTTTTGTTGAAAAAACTCACCCAGATAAAGCTGTAGCAGGCCGTTGCATTGACCTTTTAAATGATAATGTGATGTCTTACTACAGACAAGTGTTAAAATGTAGGGAAAAACAAGTGTCATTAGATAAATTCTTAGTAAAACAAGCAAGTCCTAGTGGTATGCAGGCAAAATGTGCCAGAGTGTGCATACCAGTGAAGTCCTCACTGCCTGATGTGATAATGGAAGGGGACTCCCCTTCCAAACAGTAACTCCTCTCTTCCTCCCACCTCCTCACCATCTTCCATACGCCTACAGCATTCAACAGCAAGGTAAGTAATAACTTGAACATAGTTTTGTAGGTTTATTTAGATGAATTAGGTATAAAAATTTAGTTTGATGTGGGGTTTTTGGGGTAGTCAGGAACGGATTAATTCATTTCCCTTTATTTCTTATGGGGAAATTAGCTTCGGAATGCGAGTTTTCGGAATACGAGGCGTCTCCAGGAACCAATTAAACTCTTAAACTGAGGTATGCCTGTATATATATATATATATATATATATATATATATATATATATATATATATATATATATTATATATAAAAATTTACACAGGTATATATATATATCTGTGTAGCGAGCTTACCCTCTCATCTATATAGATAGATGAGAGGGTAAGAAATTAACCATAAGCATTAATAGCAATAAAACGGAACAAAATGACATCACTTCCTTTATTCTCAGCTGTGTGGGGTTGGGTGTCTAATTTTCAGTTATGCTATTATGACTTAGTGCCTGCATAACATTTAAGACTTCAGGTAATCTTTATGTTCACAGGTATTCTTGCTCTGTACAACGGTCTGGGGCCAACTGTTTTACGATCCTTCCCTGCCACAGGAGCGCTCTTCTTGGCATACGAAGGAACCAAAAAGCTCCTACATGGTCTTATGGATTGATTCATGTTTGCTGTGTCATTAAATTATACACTAGTTTTGTATTATTTTCTAGTTTTGTATGATCATTGTATGCTGGAAAAGATATTTCACACTAATGTGAAAAATGCATAAATATTGCTCAATACATTTGTTACTAATATGATTTTTATTGTGCCACGGTTTCCTTATTTTCATTTTGAGAACATTTGTGGCACTTTTATTTGGAAAAGCGTTGAGTAAACTTCATGTTAAATCAACGTCATAAAGCACAGTGGAATCACATGAATGGGATATATTCAGGAGCAAGTATCGAAGCCATGCAATTGGATCAAACTGCCGTCCCTGAATTCCTGAGGCACATGTACTACTGACTGAACCATAATGTAGTGTGTGTGGCTGAGGAGTTGAGACCTGTGAGCTTGATCCCATCATATGGCTTACGTATTTTCTCACTGTTCAGAAGTTCTGAGTAATCCAACTCCCAGTGCTGCGTTGTGAACCTCATGATTCCTTTAGTCAGCTTTGTGATGGGAGCTGTATTAAAGGATTCACTTTATTAATTGCAAATACTGTAGTGCAAGCTGTTACTTTTCAAAGATTTTATTAAAGATTATTAAATTTGCATAATGTGACAATTTTTCTTACAAACTGTACATTCAGCTGGTATAAATATCCAGAACATTTTTATATTATAGATTTGTGTGTTTTGAAGAGGCATTTGTTTTCGCTTTTTCTCATTTTTACCCTGGGGCCTTGCACATCGTACATCTGTATCTCTGGTTGTGTGAATCCTGGGCAATGTCTTGCATACTGCAGATAAGTACTGTACATGTATAACAAGAATAAAAAAAACTGCCGTAGGCCCCACACGAGGTAGCTCTTGTGCTTCTATTTATATCCATCTATATATTTCTGACTATATGTACAATGCCATATCTGTTGCAGGCTTCATTCACACCAGACTTGTTCGGAAACTATATACTTCATATAGATTATGTTTAGCAGGATTATAATTTATTTAAGAGAGGAAGATAATTTTGCTCAATAAATAGACTTGATAGTTTTCTTACATATTGTGTTGTTATGAAGGCATAAGTCAGAATGTTGACAACCTGATAGTCAGTTTTCTGTCGAATAAACCACTTGTCTGTATGCATATGGTCATGTAAATGCTTGGGTTTATTAAGATAAATGAGTGTTTAAAGAGAGTCGCCATTAACATTAAAGTGAATGATAAATGAATCCTAATTTTTAACGAAACAAAGTGGCCATCTAATGACTGAATCTCAGTTCTCCAGTGTGATAAACTTTGTGAAGGTGAAATTATTGAAGTAGTGTCTCCATTTTAATTATGTTATTGTTTGTCTTCCCCTCTTCCAGCCACACCCTGTTTCCTCTCACCTCTTCCTCCTTACCCCTTCCCCTCTTTTACCAAATATATTTTGTTCATACTATGTGTTTTTCTCTCCCCCCCCCCCCCCCCCCACCCCCAAGTGGTTTGTTTCCATGTGGCATATTGAAAATGTTTCAGCATATTTTCTGCAACCTTTAAACACTAGTTATTTATTGACTAAAATGAAAGTTCCCGTTTAAACTCTGCCACTAATCTTCCCGTGAATCATGTTTTAGACTGTTTGAATTATTTAAATTTTTTGTTGGAAATTAGGATATGGAAATTCAGAGCATGAAACATATGATTTGTTTAAATGTCTTGGCTTTGTAATTGACAAAATCATGAGTTATGGATGTAAAAAGAACAATCTATAATTACCTAAGTGCAAGTACCTAAATATAATTACAGAATGAGAGCTACGATTGTGGTGTCCCATCATTCCTATAATCTTTAGAACATAAGAACTAAGGAAACTGCAGATGCCTTTTAGCCCATACAAGGCAATTCCTGTGCCATATGACATTTTGAAGCTTACATTAATTTTGGAATTCAGTACCTCTTTAAATAATTTTGTGTGTGATGTATTTATGGTGTTAGGATAAAAGAAGGCAATGAAAATATTGCTAAAATATTGCTTCGTTACAGTGTATACGAAGGAGTGGGGTGCTGCCATGGATATATTGCTGGAGTGTGATGGTGCTGGTTCCGGGTAATGCCGCAGTATATAATGCGAAAGATATGATACTGTATATAAATAGGTTATCTACTCTTTATTCTTTATTCTCTTTTATTTGCTTTTCTATTTCTTCTGAGCTGATGCCTCCACACTTGGAAAGTGAGAAGAGGGTAGGAATGGTTTCCTATTGTCAAAGACAGGAAGCCCAATAAGCTCATCTAGATTTCTTTAGGCCAGTGACTGACCTTTTCCAGAATGCAACCCACAACAGTTGCCTAGCTCCCAGATATGTCTTTACTATTAGGTGAACAGGGCCATCAAGTGTAATGAAATGTGTCCAAATTTTGGCCCTGCTCAGGAACCATATTCGAGATCACATGTGCTCAAACACTTTGCCTTGGCTGAAGATCAAACTTCAGTACAGTCAGTTGTAAGGCAACTGTGCTAACCATTGCATTTGGTATACCTGGAGTGAGTTCTGGGAGTTCCACGCCTGCTGCCTGGAGCAGCCCCACAGTTCCACAATTCCATTATAACCTGGTTGGTCTTGCCCTTCCTGCAAGAATTTATCTACCCAGTTATTGAATTCCTCTAATTTTGTTTTAGCAATATTTCTTGCATTTGTTGGAAGGGTATTGAATATCCATGGACCTCTGATGTTTATATAGTGTTGTGATTGTGCCTATGGCACTTATACTTTTTACCGAGTCTGTTCTAGATAAAGTCTAGAATAGACTACAATAAATATAAAAATGGAGTCGGACCCTGATGGAAGATCAGGCTACGTTGAGCCCAGACCAGGCTTTGACTTTGACTACCCTAGCTAACCCTCTCTGTTTCCCTTCTACTTTCTTGGCAGGGTTTGAACCCTGAGCCCCCAGTTGTGACCACTTTTCACCTGGAGCAACTCCATCTTTCATTGTGACAACTGCACCTTTTGCATCCCTCCTTAATGGGGGGTATGGCACTATAAAGGTCTCTTGAACACACATGTTCCTTCAAGCTCTGTGTTCCAGGATTTGTTTGGCTTTGCTATGTGGCCTAAGTATTTTGATCTTTGTCTCGATGAACATATACGACCTGATTATTTACACATACATAAGCACCTAATTGACTCTGTGGATACCTATGTTACTTTTAACCCCACCCAGACTGGCACATGAGTAGTTGTGGCCCCTTCTCAGGACGCATCCACCTGCCTAGCTACTTTGTCCTGCATTGATATCCTGGTTCAGGTCTCCAAAAATGCAGTGTAATGTCAGCAAATGCCATTGCCCTCTCAATTATATATATGAAGGTGTTCCATAGGGGAGTGTTCAGAGCACTACTATTTTTCCCAGGTTGCCCTAAATGGTCTTTCTTCCGCCCTTCTGTTTGGCTTTTTCTCAGCCCCTTATGTTAATCTCACACTCTACTGTTGCAGTGATGACTCTCCTTTCTTCCAAAACCAGCTCCAACTTGCGATTGATAATGTGTCATATAAATTTTGACACTAGAACTGACTTATATTGAATTTTGTAACTAGCTCATCAAGATTGTAACTTGCTTAGCTAAATGAATTGTGGGGTTCAGTCCCTGAGCCCCACAGGATGGGTATGGGGTGCATAATAAATGAACTAAACTAACAAACTAACTTCAACTTTTCAACCAAAACTTGTGCTGTGGCTTTTACTCGGCAGCATATTGTTCCTCGTCCCCCATTGCCACTCTATGGTAATCCCCCTTCTGTATAAAGATACTGCTTAACTTTTGGCCTTGATCTTTGATGCTCATTTATCTTGGTCACCCCATATCTCTCCCTTCCAAGTTGAATGTTCAGTGGCCCTTGCTTTCCTTTAAGTCTTGTTCTATACTTCTCCCTCCAAAGTGTCACCTTGTTGTGGTGAGGGAGGCTCACATAAGACTCCTGGACGCCAGAGAGCCTCGGCACCCTCTCCTGCCCCTCTCTTGGTGTTACGTATATATGCTAAGGTACATACCCATAGGAATCTTGTTTGGGTCAACAGACCTTCCGGTGGAGGGGGCTGCCTTAGGTGGATGGTTGAGTGTCCGGGCTGGGCGAAAGGGAGAATGAGGTCATTGCGCCAGTGCGGGAGTGTACGAGGCAGTAGGACTTCCCTGTTAAAGAGGGGAAGCACTGCTGGAGACAACGCATCCCTTCCTGCACTGGCCAGCACTCGGCCTCCATGGATGCCCTGGTAGGTGGTATCCCTTGGCTCAGACTCAGACTTTTAAAATTGATGCTGTATGGAAAATGAACCAACTAAGTGGCCAGGAAGCAGCTGACCGCTTAGCCTCGTTGTTCTGCATTGGGGAGGCCCCTGTTCGGATTTCCAAAAATGCCCAGTTAAATGCCAGCATTGGCACAGTTAATTTTCCGCACCATGTTGCAACTGGTGATAGAGAACTGAAAGACTGCCACAGGAATATTAAAGATATCCTTGAGGCCCAAGGCCATTCTATCCTCCAGGTTGATAACATTCACTCGACACCCTCGTGGTCGTTGTCGTCAGCCTCTTCACATAGCGAAGATCACATTTGATAGTAGGTCCCTTCCGTCTTCCGTAATTCTTGCTGGTGCCAGATGCTCCGTTCAGGAGTACATTACATCCCCTCTCCTCGCCTCTGCAATCGGTGCTGGAGATTTGGGCATGGTCCCTTCAAATGCACAAGTGCAGTGTGTCTATGCCCCATGTGTGGGGACTTGGATCACTCTAAGACAGAGTGCTCTTCTTCCCAAGCTCCCTGCATCAATTGCAGTGATGCCCACCCTTCCTTCTGCATGTGTGTATGCACTACAAATCTGAGGAAGCCATCCTCAATTTTAAACAATACAATCATTTATCTTTTTCCTGAGGCAAGGCGCCAAGTATGCAGTCTTCCCTCTTTCTCTGGCATGTCTTATGGTTGTGGATTACATTCCACTTTTCACCCTCTCTCACTTTCTCAGTTTCGCAACCGTTTCCAGGCCTTTGATCCGGACAACTCCACCTCACTTGCTTCTTTGTGTTCTGAGCCAGATGGTCTTCCTCTTGGTTCTCTGCTTTGTGTTTCCTTCCTTCCCCAGTCTTCCCTGTCTCCTATGACCTCTTTCCCTTGTCGGCCCAGTCTTTCTTCTCAGCCTTCTCCTCTGTTCTTTGGGCCTCTACACTGATTGACCGTCCAGGCCGTTGTCCATCCTCCTCCCAGCCATCTTCATGTTGACCACTCCTGTTCTCCTTCTCCTGTTGAGACTGTCGAGGCTGTCGCCCAGTACACTGCTGCCGGTACATCTGATAAACGCAAGCCTAACTCCTCTCCTTCTTCCTCCCCGGCGGGTAAGAAGGCATCTCTTCCTCACCTTCCGACTCAGACTCTGTACCTGTATCCCCTCCCATTTCAGTGGCTGAGTCCCCTGTCCCAGTTATGAAGGTTCCCTTGGTCCTTGATTCTCTTTAATGCTGCCCAAGATGAGATGCGCTACCGTGTTTCTGCCCTTCCCCCCACCCTCCCCCTCATTCCCTTGAGCATCCTTCTCCGATGCCTCCTCCCACTCCAGACTCAGTCTGCCTCTGGGCCATCCTACTCTATCTTGACTCTATCGTCTTTGCTAGATTTGCCTATGCCCCCGTAACCCTGATTTCGCCGATCCTGATTCTGTTCCTACCTAGTATACTATGTTTTTTCTGGAGCTTTCCCAAGGCTGATATGCTAATGTCAGACTTTGGCATCAGTCATGTGTATGGAGTTTTTAGGCCTACCAGGGACCATGGCCAGAACCGGCCCCCCCCCCCCCATCCCCACTCAAAGAGACAAAGGGAGCAATGGCCTACAGAAACCCCTGTGTGGTTGGAAGCATTCTATGTCTGCCATCGACCGGAACAGGCACCCAGAAAGGTAAGTGCTTCAAAACAAACCCCTATTCTAGTTAAAATTGCTACCAAAAGTCGAAATAGTGGATAGAACTCCCCAACAGAAAACAAGCAAACTAGTGTGACGTCACACGCCGCCGCGCCGCTGTCTGCGCAGCTCCCCCCTCCCCGGGTGGGGGAAGGGGGAGCCCCAGACTCTTCACGCCGGCTACCCACACCTCAGTTCTTGAGGCTGATGCTATAGACAAAGGTCGTGTGCTCTGGCTCCAGTGTCGCTACTGCACTGTGCTTCGTGTGTGGTGTTTGTTTTTGTGGGTGCGAGAGCCAGGAGTTATCTTCAGTACTCGGGCTGCATGCGTCTAGGGCTGCCTTCCCTAGGTACCCTGTAAGTACTGTCCATGGGGCCACCTTCCACAGGCTCCTCGGGTTCTGCCTCTGCGAGTCCGTTCTACCTTTCGGTTTTTCGGCCGCCTGTTGGGCTCTTGGGTGTTCTGTTCTCCCTTGTTACCTGCAGGTAAGAAGCAGTTTGCAC